AAAGGTAAATACATATGTATGTATAAAGAAAAGGATATAGACACAGAGACTCAACCTGTGAACTATTTTCGGATTGTCGGAACTTATCGATACAATAATCCATACGTTATCGATTTTGTTATCGGTCCTGTTATCGATTTTACTATCGGTATTTTCACATTCCATGCCATCGATAATTTTATGGGCTTTGATATCGATATTTTGATCGATACACATGATGGGACTTCATATGACAGAACATCCCTTGATATGACATCATTTGGCATGACATGCCATCCTATCACATCACTTCAAATTACATCACATGAAATCACATCCCCAGGGCCGAAAAGTTTAAGCTTTTGCTTGGAATTGCTTATTTTGCTTATTCAGGGTTTCCAAGCTTAATTTTAACGATCATACTTATTTTGCTTATTTCAATGAATAAAGTCAAGTACGAACCTTTAAAAAAAAAGCGGTGAAGAAATGAAATGCTATTATTTCGTATGAGTTAATTATAGCGTCCAAAGAGTTTTGACATCTGATATTTTACAGCCTGCTGTTGTACTCTTCACTAACACACTTTAGCAACCCCTACGAAAATTTCTTAAACACTTTGTACTGCTTAAGAAAATTTGGCTCAATAAATTTTTATTGACCATTTCTTAGACGTTTTTTTATTCGTATAACTAAAACAAAAATGTTTACAAATAATAAAATAAAAACAGATTTGGTTTTTATTAATTCGTAACTTTTTGCTTGCTGCAACACTTTTTTATTTTTTTTTGTCTGCAAATTTTTAATAAAAATATGGTTTTTATTACAACAAAAAATATAACTTTTAAACTTTGTGAAAAACTCGGCAAAATTGAATAAATTTTCATGCAAATTTTCAATTGTTTAATCAGGTTTTTTTATATTTATTTTTTGAGTATGCAGTTTTGTAGCCCTATAAATTTTGCTATAATAAAGTGCAAGTTTGTAGTGCCTAGAACTTACCGTTGATTTTTGGTATTTTTTCACGCAGTTTATTCCATTAAAAAAAAAATCGAAAATACTTTGTAAGGAAAAATGCGAAGCATTTTAAACAAAAATATTCTGCAAAATCAACGCAATTTTTGACTAACTTCAAATATTTATGTTAAGACTAAAATTTAATGGACTACAAAACTGCATACTCAAAAAAATTTAAAAAATCTGATTAAACAATTGAAAATTTGCATGAAAATTCATTCAACTTTCCGGAGTTTTGCACAAAGTTTAAAAATTATATTTTCATTTTCAGTTTTGAAACTATATTTGTATGCTTTTTGTTGTAAAATGAACCATATCTTTATAATAAACTTGCGGAAAAAATTTAAATTAAAATTGTAGCATATAATCACCCTCATTGCGAGAGTGGTGTCGTATGCAAGTCGTTTTTCGAGAGTCGAATCGTATCGCAAATTGCACGTCATTGCCTAAAATTTCCATTCGACTAGTGTATTAAAACGGAAAAACTTGGCAGCACTGTATAGTTTTCGACGATTTTCGTCATTTACTTATTTCAGCACGACAGTAAACAATGCCAATGTTGTCGAGTCGTACAATTTAGCCTAATTTACGACTTACGCAATGAGGCTGATTGTGAAAAATTCTCTGTGCCAACACCTTTTTCCGGCAGTGTACATATGTACATATGTATGTAGACAATTTGGCGAATAAAGATTGTTCGGTTCAAGTTGGGTACCCAGAAAAGATGTAAATCCGGAACATAAAAAAAGTATATAAATGAAACTCGTATTTATCAAACATTTGTTAAGTGTGAAACGGGGCTCGATACCCAAATGGAATCAAACGTGGAAATTACTGAGTGATAGTACGTAAACGAACCTACAACCACTCGATTACGCTGAGCGGAAATTCTATTGACGGTAAAATCCTCCTAAAATAAGCTTTCGACTATCACAAACCTTTTTAGCCGCCCAGTCTGATAGAAAAGCTTCCATCCTGGTAAGTGAGGAATTCGATTTTTTTACAATATTTTAGTAAAATTTTGCTAAACAACGAAAACAAATAAAAAATTCGACCAGTACATTGACGATGACAAACGAAGATGCCGATAAGTATCGAATTTTATAAGGTTAAGCTTTAAATTTTTTCATTGTGGTGTAACTGAGAGAAGACTAAAAGAATACATATTTATTGCAATCAATCGGATCCTTAACTTCCTCAGCTGTGAACATTTTAAAATCTTCAAAACATAAAATAGTTGGTAATTTATATATTTATCTTTCCCGCAATCATTGTACTTTATTGCTATAAATAAGTGTTAATAAGAAAACACCTTAAAAAAGAATAAGAGCCCTAAAGAAATTATAAATCAAATATTTAATTAGTTTGCCATTTTTCCTACATACAATACAAATGCAAAGTTAACCACACTCAATTTATTAACGAACGACCAGAGTTTACAAACATATGTATACTCCGGTATATTGCCATAAAAATCACTATTTTTTTAATCTTAACTTTATTGCTCAGGTGCAATCTAAATTCGTGTATACATATGTATGTACGTATATACATATATTTACGGTGGCTAGGTGTTTTAAGCGTTAAATAACTTCATTTCGTATTAGTCTGTTAACATAAAAAATAAATATTTTATCTTTTTTTTGCAAAAATGTACAACAAATAGTAAAAACTTCGAATGTGCCTTTATGTTAAAATACGTCTAGTTGATTTTGCAACATAGGCGTTATTCCTTAAAATCAGGTATGCCTTCGAAGGTGCAGCCACTACGTTGTATAATTTGACGTGCTGCCCAAATGCCGGCACGTATGCAAACGCTAAGTTGCTTCTTTTGTATGTACTGTGCCAAAAAGCCACCAACAAAAGCGTCACCAGCGCCATTTGTATCGACAATTTCTTCCGATTCCAATCGGTGCACTGGAAATTCTTCAATGGAGTGCTCTTGTATAAGTAATACCGGTAAGTGACCTTGTGTTAGCACTATTATCCGTGGCCGATCAGCATTCTCTTTAGGCAGAGCCAACATTTTCTTGCCAATCTCTTTCATGTCCTTATCATTCCAACCTTGAGCAGCTGCGAACGCCTCAGCTTCCTGTAAATGAAAAAAACATATACTACATAATAACAATGAATATTTAAATTTAAGCTACCAATTCATTGCCGAATAGGATATCCACATAAGGTAAAGCAGCCATTAATGGTTCCTTGAAAAACTGTGACAAAAATGGTGCACTCAGGTTCATCAGAAAAGTGCGTTTATGTGTGTGCGCGTGTTGGGCAATATGCTGAATGCTTGGCGGACTCACGGTTAGGAAGAAGCCCTGTATTAGATAAAAAAAAACATAGTGTATATGAAATTGTGTATGCATTTGTAAATCAAACCTACCGATATATAGAAATATTCGGCATTATCTATAAGTTTCTGGTTTTCAGGCGTTAGCAAATGATCTATGGTAAAGTTATTAGCCGCTGCCAGATTAGCGCAGAGCGAACGATGAGTACCAGTAATGAGCACGCCACATGTGCCAGTTGATGCTTCGTTGTTGCGCTGGTAATGCACATTTACACCATTCGAGCGCGCACGCTCTTCAAGTATCTCACCATAACGATCATGGCCCACACAACCGAAGAATATAGCCACATCCGGCTTTTGTAACATCCACTGGCATACACGCAATGAATTTTGGACTGAACCACCAGCAATAAAATCGGCACTATACTTTTCCACTAGTTCTTTATATAGTGGCATATGCTTTTCTTCAGCCAAAATAGCGTCATTTGGTTTTAAATCATATTTCTGCAAGAAATTTTCATCGACAGTGGCCGATATATCCAGCAAAGGATTTCCGCAGCCGACCAAAATGCCTGTTCTGAAAAAAAAAGATTAATATACTCATCTAGATAATTAAATTAGATTTATAGAAAGAATTATTTTATTTTTTATTTTTTATTTTATTTTATTAATNGATTAATATACTCATCTAGATAATTAAATTAGATTTATAGAAAGAATTATAAAAGTATTAATTTAATCACATTTCATATAATTTATTTTATGTCACCTTGTCGCCACTTATTTTTATATTTTGATAATAGATATGTATGTATGTACATGTTACCTCGAGTTAATCCTTTATGCTTTAAAGCAAAATTTCAATGGTTCTCAATGGATTTTATGGATTAACTAGCCATAGGTATAGTTTAAAATGCTCTTTTTGGGAAAGGTAACTTATTCTTTTTTAATCGAAAGTCAAACCTCTATTCACTTAAGTTTATTAAAATGTCACAGATAGGTATTTACACACGAAATTGGCACAACTTATCCTAAAACAAAGAAGATTTTTCGTGGCTACTGCAGAAACATCAAATATATTCCCTTGTGTAAAGAAACCGGTTTCGCAATTTTCAATATGGGTGTTTCCATCGGAAAGTCCACCACGACAAAAAAAAAATAAAAATCTTATATCTAACGTATTTACGGGCCGATTTGTCTGCTTTTTAAAATATATACTTGCTATGTAAGTAAAATCATGTTTGCTTAAATGGTCTTCCTAGGTGGCGCCAAGGTTGAGATATTTCGAAAAACCGTATTTATGGTCCGATTTGGTTCGAATTTGGCGTATGTAGTTGAAACATAATAAGTCATAGATTTCCAACAAATTCACCCTGAATTGGCGCTGAAGTCAAAATTAAAGTATATTCTACATAAAATAGATGTTTTTTTTGCGTTAAAAATTCATTTAAAAGCAATATTAGCAAAAATATAACGATGGCAATTTTTTTTTTTGCGATTTTGTAAGAAAAGAAAAAATCTACTTCCCTTTTTTGTCACGTAACGACACTCTCTTTAAACGCTTATATTTCGGGACCAAGCAGTTCGATTGTTTTCATTTTTCGGTTAAATATAGAGCTAATTATGTGCTATACAATGGCCAAAAAAAGTAAAAGAAAACAAATGGTATTCCTTGTTTGTATCACATTGAAACGTACGACTGTCACGTATGCGACGTATGGAAATACCCATATACATACAAATGGAATACAATTTTTACATGTACGGTACATATATACATACATATATAGGTCCTTAAATATTTGGAGAATCTTAAACGTTGTTAAACTAAGTACTTTTCGTTATAGTGCAAGAATAAAAGCACGTATCATTTCACTATCGACACGATCACTTATAATTATTGTAATTATCAGTCATAAATACTGAGCTTAATGACGTCAACCAAAACTGAAGGGAAATGTTTTATACACGAGCTAAACCAAAATAACGCTATAGGTTAGCTATACATATGTATGTACCTACCGCACACCGTCTTCAAAATAGTCACAACTCAAAATTTGGAATTTTTGAGGTTATGCGCTAAAAATATACGCGGGGCTTTTATTTACCTTTCAGCGAAAGCTGGAGCAAATTTTTGTTATAATTTGTTAAAAAAAAACCTAAGGTAAAGTCGCCCTTGCCCGTATGATTATCATGTGCTAAGAAATAGTTTTTCGCATTTCCTGACAAACGTATTATTTTGAATTGTGACTCTTTTGAAGATGGTGTAGATCCATTCATACAAAAATAAAACAAAAACATACATACATATTTTTACTGAAGTGTAAAATCTTCAGTATTTAAATAAAAACTCATACAGGAAGCGTTATATATGTACAATCATAATGTAGATATATGCACACGTTTATATACATATCGCACACCGTCTTCAAAAGTCACAACTCAAAATAATAAGTTTGTCGGAAAATGCGAAAAACTATTTCTTAGCACATGATAATCATATGGACTGGGCGACTTTACCTTAGGCTTTTTTAACAAATTTTAGNCTGACCATATTCTGCACAAGAGTTGATGCATGTACCTTATCAACTCCTCGTCTCCGTACTTGAATAGCTCAGCTTTGTTGTTTTTCAGTNTTTAACAAATTTTAGCAAAAATTTGCTCCAGCTTTTGCTGAAAGGTAAATAAAAGCTCTGCGTACATTTTTAGCTCACAATCTCAAATATTCTAAATTTTGAGTTATGACTCTCTTGAAGACGGTGTGCGATATGTATGTGCACATGTGAGTATACTCTAGCATTAGCTCAGCCGTTCTTATCAGTGAGCAGCAGTGCAAACGATTGAAAATTGTAACTATGTGCATTTCTTATTAAAAACTATAAAATATACAATATATCTGTCCACACTATTTTCGCCTGTTTTTTATTTTACTTTTATTTTTTTGTAACAATATACCTACCTTAAATCCTCACTCATTATGTAAATAAGTTGCAAAAATGTCAACACTTTTTCGTATACACTTGTTCACAAGTTAAACTTCCGGATTTTGTTTATAAGTTGTAGTTGATTCACAAGCTCAGAGAAAATTGATAATCCAACTCCAAGCACACTGACCACAGTCGATGCACCCTTACCCCATGGAAGCTACAGTGGAAAAGTGTAATCAGAAGAAACCGCTAAAAAACACATGGCAAGGTGATGTAGCAGCAACAGTAAAAACCACACAATCCACTCACCTATCCATACAGGCGTGCGGCTACATATATACAAAACATATGATTGATTTTGCACTGGGTGTAGTTGGCATTTGTTGGCTCCAGCTGTCAAGCAGTGTACAGTGGATGCCATCGTACAGTTTCCTAAGTAAAAACAGTATCAGCTGATTGCCAAAAAATGCCTACTGCCACTGAACCAAAAACACCCCAGTGGCGAAAATGGTCACCGGTGAAATCGGCACTAATGAGGATTTAGTGACATCGTCGCACTTGCTGTGAATACTAAATGACACTGGTGCCAATGTCATGCAGGTGTACTCCTATCAAAGACTATAACAGACAATGTCTTGCAGCGGTCACTTATAAAAAGTCCATTGCAAGATACTGTCGCTTGAATGTCAGCAACGACGAAATGAAGAACTGAATCCCCATTTGGGAGAAAAAATATAAAGTTTCATATTTTCTTCTAAACAAAATTCTTCTTTTTTTGGCGCTGTAACCGCCGAGTTCAGCAAAGTACGCCAGTCCCCTGTGCCAACTNGGGCATACGTTCATCTGACCATATTCTGCACAAGAGTTGATGCATGTACCTTATCAACTCCTCGTCTCCGTACTTGAATAGCTCAGCTTTGTTGTTTTTCAGTTGCGTTATTGCTATTCGTACCTCGTCATATTCAGGCGGTGGAACGTCGACTCCGTCATCGTCGACTGCGGGCTCGGGTTCTTCTTCTCCACAATTTTCCGTGCTGCTACCATCTAGTACGGCGGAAAAGTGTTCCATCCTTAATTTAAGTACGCTCAAGACATCGGTTACTAGGTCACCATTGTTGGTCTTACAGGAGTACAACCATGGTGACCTAGAGACTGATGTCCAGAATGTACTTAAACTATGGAGGGAGTACTTTCCCGCCTTAGCGAGTGGCAACAGCACTACTGAAAGTAATGGGTAAAGCCAACCCGAGCCCGCAATCGATGACTATCTGCCGTCCCTAAATTGGAGCGCTAAGCTTTGCGTTATCCATTGTCGACGAGTGTCAGCGGGCGCTATCCCCAAATCAACGCGTCGTAATTTTTGACGTTTTCTCAGATCCTCTCGTTTTTATTCTCGTTTCCTCTTTCACTTTTTTGTCCTTTCTCTTTCTTTCCGTCTTCCGCATCCAACTTCAACACGTAACGCCCTGTCAAAAATGAAAATTCCATTTGCTCGGCGTTAGCGNCGCCAATTTAGGGATGGCAGTATGGAGTCGATGTCCCTCCGCCTGACTATGACGAGGTGCGAATAGCGATTACGCGGCTTGTACATTTATTTTGTTTTTGCTTTTTATGGGCGTAGTGTCAAATCAGTATAAGCAAAAACAAGGCGAATTAATATAAGGTGATTGCAGGAGTACAAAAACAAAAATTTACATGTATTTTGTTTTTGCTTTGGCGGCATAAACTGTCAAAAACTGTAAGAATGTGTGTAGAAATTCAAACAAAATTTTTCAATTTTATATCAGAAGCCGTGCGGCGAAACACATACACAAAATCAGCTGAGCTAGTAACACCACCTTATATAAATTCGCCTTGAGCAAAAACAAAATACAAGGAAGGCGAAGAAATCAGCTGATCATACTGTTACGATTATCCTTGAAACCTCGTCCGGATTTCCCAAATCTCTCGGTTCGTATCGCTGGATGGTTAAATAAAGGCTAACGATGACCAAATAGTAGTACAATTAACTTTATTGTACAACAAACAATTTTACAATACTTGCTAATACAGTAAAAACACTACAATACTTGTTAAAGAAATTACAACGCTTTACTGAACTTGTTAACACAATTAAACTTATAGCTTGCTTATTCGCAACTCGCTTCTCTGCTCACTTTACTTGTAGCTTGCTCACTTGTCACTCACTCACCTCGCTGTGGCGGCGCCCTTATATACCTGCGCTGCCACTTATGGCAACCCTAGAACATTCTGAAGTTTATCGCTCATTCTCTTTCTCTCGCTGTTCGCGGTGTTCATCCAACTTGACGTTTCTCTTTGTGGAACATTCTACGTCGTTCCTCGAACATTCTGCCTATTTCTCGTTGTTCGCTTTGTGTTGCCGCAGTATTCGCCACAATAGAACACCACCTTCAAGGCGAATTTATACAAGGTGGTGTTCGCGGTACTTCCCAGTGTCAAAATGATGTGTTTGTTGTAAACAAGGCGAATTCATATAACAACAAACACATCATTTTGACATTAAGAAGTACCGCGGCGAAAATTTAAATTCGCCATCAACACCACCTTGTATAAATCCGCCTTGACCACCTTGTACAAATTCGCCTTGAGGAGTTGTTTGTNTATACACTTGTTCACAAGTTAAACTTCCGGATTTTGTTTATAAGTTGTAGTTGATTCACAAGCTCAGAGAAAATTGATAATCCAACTCCAAGCACACTGACCACAGTCGATGCACCCTTACCCCATGGAAGCTACAGTGGAAAAGTGTAATCAGAAGAAACCGCTAAAAAACACATGGCAAGGTGATGTAGCAGCAACAGTAAAAACCACACAATCCACTCACCTATCCATACAGGCGTGCGGCTACATATATACAAAACATATGATTGATTTTGCACTGGGTGTAGTTGGCATTTGTTGGCTCCAGCTGTCAAGCAGTGTACAGTGGATGCCATCGTACAGTTTCCTAAGTAAAAACAGTATCAGCTGATTGCCAAAAAATGCCTACTGCCACTGAACCAAAAACACCCCAGTGGCGAAAATGGTCACCGGTGAAATCGGCACTAATGAGGATTTAGTGACATCGTCGCACTTGCTGTGAATACTAAATGACACTGGTGCCAATGTCATGCAGGTGTACTCCTATCAAAGACTATAACAGACAATGTCTTGCAGCGGTCACTTATAAAAAGTCCATTGCAAGATACTGTCGCTTGAATGTCAGCAACGACGAAATGAAGAACTGAATCCCCATTTGGGAGAAAAAATATAAAGTTTCATATTTTCTTCTAAACAAAATTCTTCTTTTTTTGGCGCTGTAACCGCCGAGTTCAGCAAAGTACGCCAGTCCCCTGTGCCAACTGACGCCAAGTGAAGCNAACCAATTTATTATTTTTGTACGTGTTTTTGCATCCAATCACCGCGCACTTCATTTTAATTGCATTTGCACAAAAAATCACTGAAATAAAGCACCGACAAAATACACGTAAAGAAAGCAAAACAGAAATAGCAAACCTCAAAATTACGAACGTTACACACTTTTCTCTCAATTGCTATTACAAATGGCTGCTTCTCAACCGGTCAGNTTTCACACAATACGCTCGATAAAACCTTGTAACCTATGCTTAGAAGGCTGATCCCGCGGTAGTTGGCGCGAATGGTGGGGTCACCTTTCTTGTGGAAGGGGCAGAGCACACTTAAATTCCAGTCGTCGGGCATGCGTTCATCTGACCATATTCTGCACAAGAGTTGATGCATGCACCTTATCAACTCCTCGCCGCCGTACTTGAATAGCTCAGCTGGCAGGCTGTCA